CTGTTTAGCTGCTTCAGATGTAAACAGACTATCATATACAGTTGCAACACGGTACATATCCAACCAACAGATACCAATGTGAATTATTGTGGTTTATTGTGATCATGATTTGTAACAAATTTCACACCCAATTTGATAAAATTCAACATTATATATCCAAAAACATCATTTATGCCTATTCGTATGGTGTCTTACCTTCTCACAGTTGGTGAATTTCATATAGTTATGCAATATGGGACCCCAAAAACTCGCAATACCTTCAATACAGACGTTGTCCAACACCTGTTGCTGCAATTACGTGACAATCATTATTAATTTACCGTCTATAACATTACTTTTCAACATTTATTAATTTAACTCACCGTTAAGTGGTATGGAATGTAGCCAATCGTCCGACCTGACTTTTTATAATCGTAGCATACTGTCCAGGCGAGCAAATCAATAACCTAACAAAATTAATTACACAATCAGAATATATTCAATAGGTTTTAACTTTTAATCGATGTCTACATACCACACCGCCAACCCATTCACTAGGCTTCAACGTTGCAACGTCTGTTACACTAGCGTATTGATTTCCCATTGAGATTACAGAACATCTGTATGAATCATTAGGATTAATATATTGTCATGAAATATTTAAATATCACTCGCAAAGCAATATATTTAACTTACCCGATTCTAACCCACATTCCAAAATCACAAATTGCAGCTTTGACCGGTTCAATTCCGCTTAGAATAACCGCTTTTCAACCTACAGTTTTGCATACAAATTTTAGTCACAACAACATGATAAAATCAAATTAAGTTTTCTTTATTCAACTTACCTTTTCTTCTTATGGGGCAAGACATTCGAATCCAAATCTGCATCTATAACACTCTCCGGTGTATAGATGTTAGTGATATCCTTTCTCCTCATTTCCTCCATCTTTTCTTCTTCCTCCATCTTCTCTTCAAATTTTTCAGTTCATCATATTTTGCTCTACATAGCTCTTCATCTCTTTTATTTCACCCTTCATTTTCCCCCATCCAAGTTTTTCTTAACCACCTCCTTCAGGCCGTAAGTTCACTCCTCAATTCCACAACCTCCTTGACAACTACAAATTTTCCACAGTCAACAGATTAAGTTCCCTCAACACCTCAACTTCATTCACCACTACATCTACCTTTCCTTCCACTTCCCCTTATGGCTCAAGTGTCTTCATCTCTTGATTGTCTTTGATGAATATCAAAAAGGATTTTTTAATATCAGCCAATTCAGACATCAAAATATCGAATTTACTGTTTCCCTCACCGTAATCCCCCCTGTCATCCACCCCTCCAACCATCTCTTTCCTTCTCCACTGCCTCTCTGCTTCCTTTGCCTCCTCTAACTCCTTGACAATAACTTTCAAAATTAAATTTGTATTAAGACATTGATATTCTTAATATTATTAATTACATTTATTACCATTTCTAGCTTCCTCGGTCTATCCAACTTCAACTTCGCCATCACTCTAACCACCTCTTCCTTCCCCCATGCACGGATGCGTGCCACTCCGTTTTTTCATAAGTCGACAAACTATCACACCCGACAAAAAATGAACAGTGCAACCTGCATTTATAATAAAAGTTATCATTTTATATAACTATACTATCATTTTATATAAAAAAAAACAAAACATTCTTCAACTCAGTTACCTTTAAGATTGCTATACACCCTTTGAGGTATCTCTGGCTGCCCTTTTAAAAGGTGATTATTGATTCAATCAATCTCGAATGGACATATTCAGCCCAATTGAATTCACCCTTCAAGCCTTCATCGCAATGAGCTTCATATCGTCCTTGTTGTTGTACACCCATTGGACAAAGAAATATCCCGACAAGGTAATATAGAACTCGGGCCTTCAGGTCATCCCCCCCGTAGATCCACTTTTATATCTCTTCAACTTTAGCATATGCCACCTTTGATTCAAACTAATTTGGAGGCAAGTGCTTTCCAGTCTTACTCCTACAGACTTCTACAACACTTTTGCCATTGTTTTGTACCCCAAGATGGTGCAGCAGTCGATACCCAGAGGGAATAAATAATCACCATATTTAGCAATACATTGTTTGACATCAAATTGCTCCATCAAGGATCGACACAATTCCCTCCGAATTGGTCGATCCCTCCTATCAAAATCCAAACCCCATTTCCCTCAGCACATTCAACTGATCCTTCTTTAAGGTTCAATTAATGAATTCACCATTTTTATGTTGCACTTGTCGACACTTCCTATATTTTTTAACAATATATAATGTTATTGTTCTTATATCTTGTATCAACGTATTTACAAGTTTAATGAATACCTTCTTTTCATGTGCCTTCATCCGTTCTTTGTATTCTTTATATCATTCCTTGACTGTGTGATGTAAAGTTCCTTTTCGGCATCACTCATCGAATTACATTTCGATTCACATCTTTTGTCACCTAATATTAAGCGTAAATGTTTCTTAATCAATACATTAACGCTAAATAATACTCAATGTCAATTTCATTTACATATCGAACCGCTGTGTGTGCCATCTTCCTTCATCATTTTGCATTCGGCATACTGTCAACATTTAAATTTATAATCAGTTTAAAGTTTTAATCCAATTACCAATTTCAACAATAATAACAAAAAGATACTTACTAGAAGTACATATATCCACCCTTTGGTTGCTTTCCTCCCATTGACTTCATTTTTCCTTCATATATCAGTTTGCGCAAATCAAATCAAATCAAATACTGCTTACATACACTTATTCAATATACAAAAATCAATAACCACTCTTTGTGGTAAACGGTTGGTCTTCAAAAGAATTTGAATGGCCATACAACAAGTGTCGACACATTATACAACCTAAAATATCATTTTCTACATATAATATCATTTTTACCTATAAATATTAACTAAAAGTATCGATTCGGTCTCAAATGCTTCTTTACTTCGAAACCCCCAAACAACAACACATAAAAACCCTATTTCCCATTACTGTAATAATAAAAAACTAGGGTTTCAACAACGTACCTTTCGATTCGACTGCAGCAACAAAAAACAAACAAAACTTCACGTAGAAACGCCTTCTGAAATACAACAACAATTACGCTTCGATTTCAAAAACTCTATCTATTTTCAGAGGATAACTATGCCTTATATTTACACCGGATATGTTATTTATATTTTAATATTACATAAGTGTCGATACTTTTGTCAGTGTCGATAATTTCGATAGGATATTTACCTATTTCTTTGAAATATCGATAATTATTACGCGTACTTATTAAAGTATCGACAACGTACCTTTCGATTCGACTGCAGCAACAAACAAACAAAACTTCACGTAGAAACGCCTTCTGAAATGCAACAACAATTACGCTTCGATTTCAAAAACTCTATCTATTTTCAGAGGATAACTATGTCTTTATATTTACACCGGATATGTTATTTATATTTAATCGATATAATTACATAAGTGTCGATACTTTTATGTCAAGTGTCGATAATTTCGATAGGATATTTACCTATTTCTTTGAAAGCATCGATAATTTATTACGCGTACTTATTAAAGTATCGACACATTCAACATATTCGGTATCTATTTACCGGTTTTGTCATTTTGAGAACGGTTTTATCATATTTTTACATGTTATATTGTTTTGGATCGATACATTTTCATAAAGGGTCGACACTTTTTAAGCGTTATAACTTCTTCTCTTTTAAATTCAGAAAGTGTCGATACTTATATTAAATTATCGACACTTTCAACATATCCGGTAACTTTTTCTGGTTTTGTCATTTTTGAGACCTGTTTTATCATATTTTTACCTGTTATATTGGTAAGGATCGATACATTTTAATAAAGTGTTGACACTTTTTAAGCGCTATAACTTCTTCTCTTTTAAATTCAAAAAGTATCGATACTAATATTAAATTATCGACACTTTCAATATATCTGGTAACTTTTTCCGTTTTTTTCATTTTTGAGACCAGTTTTATCATATTTTTACCTGTTATATTGTTATGGATCGATACATTTTCATAAAGTGTCGACACTTTTTAGTTTAATTTCAGAAAGTGTCGATACTTATATTAAATTATTGACACTTTTAACATATCTGGTATCGTTTTACTAGTTTTGTCAATTTTGGGACATGTTTTATCATATTTTTACCTGTTATATTGTTGTGGATCGATATATTTTTTTAAAGTATCGACACTTTATAGGCGCTATAACTTCTTCTCTTTTAAATTCAGAAAGTTTCGATACTTATATTAAATTATTGACACTTTCAATATATCCGGTAACGTTTTACTGGTTTTGTCAATTTTGAGACCTGTTTTATCATATTTTTACCTGTTATATTGTTATGGATTGATACATTTTCATAAATTGTCGACACTTTTTAAGCGCAATATTTTTTTCTCTTTTAAATTCAGAAAGTGTCGATACTTATATTAAATTATCGACACTTTTAACATATCTGGTAACTTTTTCGGTTCTTTTATTTTTGAGACATGTTTTATCATATTTTTACCTGTTATATTGGTAAGGATCGATATATTTTCATAAAGTGTCGACACTTTTTAGGCGTTATAACTTCTCTTTTAAATTCAGAAAGTGTCGATACTAATATTAAATTATCGACACTTTCAATATATCCGGTAACTTTTTCCGGTTTTGTCATTTTTGAGACCAATTTTATCATATTTTTACCTGATATATTGTTGTGGATCGATATTGTTTTTAAAGTATCGACACTTTATAGGCGCTATAACTTCTTCTCTTTTAAATTCAGAAAGTTTCGATATTTATTTTAAATTATCGACACTCGACACATATCCGATAGCGTTTTACCGGTTTTGTCATTTTGGGACCGGTTTTTTCATATTTGTACCTGTAATATTGCTATGGAGCGATCCATTTTTCATTTGATACATCGTATATTAATCCGCTTTCGAAGATATCCTGCGAAGATGATTATTTTCAGACTAATGAAGACGATAATGGAAGCTCTTTTTAGGATTAATATTATTTTTTTCTTATAATGTACTGTCCCAAAAGCCCGCCAAAATAGATACTCCCGTCAAGTACAAAGCTGAATACAACAAAACAAGGGAAATCTTGATCTATTGATTGCTTAAATTTTGGCATAAAGACAAAAGCCTATCTTATTAAATAGTGATTTTAGTTTATATTGTTTTTAGTATTTCGACTTTCAATATTTTATTTATAATAAAAAAAAATTATCTATGAAAATTGTTAGTTAACATTCTAAAATAAGAATATTTTTATCTTAAAATAAAATTTTGAGGTTAAAATTTTTATAAAAAATAAGGATTAAAGTTATTATTTAATCAAATGTTCAAAATATTTTTAATCTAGAGTAAATTATACATTTAATATCTAAACTATTACTTTTGTTTCTGTTTTGTTACCCAAATTTTATTTTATTTTTTGAAATCATACATAACATTTAGTTTAAGTTTCAAAAGGTAATACCACAACATTATTGAAAAGATAAAAAAATGTCACATCAATATTTTTGTTAATTTTTCAGCGGTAGGTATTAAATTAAAATATAAACTAAACATTAAGTATAGTTTTAAAAAATAAATTTCAAGTATCAAAACAGAATAAAAATAATAGTTTATGTATTAAACGTATAGTTTACCCTTTAATCTATAATAAAACCTTGGGAGAAAAATACTGGAAGAAAATGGAGGGGGGGAGGGGAATGAGAAATGCCTTCAATTTTCCACTGAAAATATGGGGGCAATAACTCAGACTTACCGTAGAGGATAGGGAACCTCTTGAGCAGATAGAATTCCAGTACAGATAACGATGAAGAGAACATCATGACAAATGTCCCTGTTGCACTGGCAACCTGTTAAATTTAAAGCATTTATGGTCAAGCTGGTCTGTTTGGCTGGAAAATGATGCATTTACAGTGATAACAAAGCTACCTGTGGAATGACACCAATCTCCAGGAGAATAGGACCCAAAATGAAACCTCCACCAGAGCTGAGCAAGCCCCCCACGGTGCCACCCAAGATGCCACACACTGCACAAAATGTAATGCTCAATGGACTCCATTCAATCGAAGCTTCACATATGGCTTCACTGTTCCCTCTCCTCATCCTATTCTTTTGTTCTTTGTGCAATTTGGTTGCTTCATATCCAAATACCATTACTGTACTGGAAACTGAAAACACCAACATCAAATCAGGAGGGTATATATAGTTTTTGTAATGTTTCATAACTTTTTAATATATATATATATTAAAAAGTTAAAATTTGATGAAACATTACAAAAACTATATATACCCTCCTGATTTTAACTTTTTAATATATAGTTTTTGTAATGTTTCATCAAATTTTAACTTTTTAATATATATATATATCCAACTTGATATTTACTTGACTTGTAAAATTTTCATTTTTAAATGGATGCAATTTAATTTATTTTTATATTAATTTCAGCTTCACATGTTATAATTGTTTTGATTTGGTCCCCATCCCGTCATTTGTTTAATTTATTTAAATTTCAATTTGTAATTTTATGTTTGTTCAATTTAATCCTTAAATTATTCTTTTATCAAAATTGACTCATAATTATTTTTATTTTTAAATTTACTCCAAATCTTATACAATCATAAAATACAAATCGACGTTCATGAAATATAGAAAATAATTAACTTAAAAATGATTCGATATGAAGTTCGTCCATACCCAATAAGATCCAACCTAAATTTTATCTATCAATGATGTAATCCGAGATCCAACTTGAAGTCCTTCAAATCTGAATTAACCTGATATTTAACTAATTCATACCCGAACTAAAATTAATCCGACTAAAACCCAAACTGAAAGGTAAAATTAACCCAACCATAACCTAAACTGAAATTGTTTATTTTTATATTAATTTCAGCTTCACCTGTTACAATTATTATGATTTCATCCCTATTATTTAATTTAATTAATTTTCAATTTTTAGCTTCACCCTTTACAATTGTTTTGATTTCATCCTATATTTAATTAATTAATTTTCAATTTATGTTTGTTCAATTTAATCCTTAAAGTTATTCTTTTATCAAAATTGACTCATAATTATTTTTATTTTTTATGATTTGGAGTCTTCACCTGTTACAATTGTTTTGATTTCATCATGTTATTTAATTTAATTAATTTTCAATTTTATGTTTATTCAATTTATCCTTAAAGTTATTCTTTTATCAAAATTGACTCATAATTATTTTTATTTTTATTTATAATTTACTCCAAATCTTATACAATTACAAAATAAAATACAAACAGCCGGAGTCCATAAAAGATAAAAAATAATTAACTTAAGACTCGACCTGAAATCCATCCGATCATAATTTACTCCAAATCTTATACAATTATAAAATAAGTCCATCAGTATCCAATAAGATCCTACTTAAATTTTAAGTATCAATGATATAACCCAAGATCCGCCATGAAATTTGTCCAAACTATAAAATAAGTCCATCAGTATCCAATAAGATCCTACTTAAATTTTAAGTATCAATGATATAACCCAAGATCCGCCATGAAATTTGTCCAAACCTACTGAAATCGATCCTCAATGATATAACCCAAGATCCGCCATGAAATTTGTCCAAACCTACTGAAATCGATCCGAATTAAAATGAACCGACTTAAAATTGATCCTTAAAATTGATCCGAACTAAATCTGATTTCAAAAATCAACCTGAAATTAAGACAACTCAACTGATTTGATTGACCTACCTGAAACCTGATTACATGTCCCTAATAGTTACAATTTAAATAGGCCAAGCTTATTTCCATTTGGTTGATCAATAACAGCTGCATTCCAAGTTTTAAATGCTCCACGTGCACAAAGCACGGGTGATAGCATTCCATGCGTAGTAAATGTACCATTTTATGCAACTTCTATGTTAAAATTAGCTTCTCAAATAGAAACCAAGGGGGGGGGGGAATGATGTTATTGCGTTTTGGGCATATCTTGCATCTTTTAGAGTTGCGGGATTTTTGTGATGAAGGAATATGTGGTCAGATAAAATTTTGATAGCGGCAAAATATGCGCTCTTCATTTCCCAGATTTGGAGCCACCTCTGTAAACACCACACACATCGGCAACAACTGCCCACACACTGATTGCTCAGACAACTCAAATATATTTATTTATAACTGCATAGGGGTCATATAAAGTTGTCTTCTTTAAGTATAAAGAAACTTGAACCAACTCATCTACTTATTATGAAAGCATAATCCATGGATCAAGTCCAGGTATTGAAGATGACAGCACATACAAGCATTTCAACCCACTCCGATCAGCATCAGAATTTTGTTTTCCCGGAGCGCTCATCACTAAGACTCCCAACATCATTGAAAGCTTGTCCGCTCATCTGATCAGATGCTTTGAGTGCAGAAGCAAATGCTCCTGCTGGGGTTTCTTCTACTCTAATCCTTACCCTCTCCGAATACCCACATTTATCATCTTCTCTTGTCTCCTTCATCTCTTCCATTTTCTCTCCAGCCGAATCCTTGTTTCCCTCAACTTTTCCTATATGAAGAAATTAACCACCATTAAGCATTTAATCAAATGAGGAGGTGTAAAGTAGGGAATAACAAGATTCATCACCTTGGCTTTATCCGCAGTTTCGGATGCCGTCTGCTTTGTTTCTTCCGTCTTTCCGGTGATGAAATCCATGGCCTTCCTAGCAGCACCAGCAGCCGAGTCTTTGAATTCCCCAAGCTTACTGCCAGTGGTATCCTTGCCTTCCTTTGCTTTATCAGCTGTGTAATCTGCGTACTCTCTCATCTTCCCCGCTGAAGCATCTCTTCCTTCTCTAACCTTCTCGGCCGCATATTCCTTCCCCTCTTCCGCCTTCTCCTTTTCTTCCTTAGCCCTCTCAGCTGTCACATCCTTCGCTTCCTTGGCTTTCTCAGCTGCACAGTCTTTATACTCAGATGCCTTCCCTGCTACACTATCCTTTGCTTCTTTCGCTTTCTGAGATGCATAATCTCCATACTCGGAAGCTTTTCCCGTTACTGAATCCTTCGTTTCCTTTGCCTTCTGAGACGCATAATCTCCATACTCGGAAGCCTTTTGCTTAGTAGTTTCCGTCGCCTCTTTCGCTTTGTCTGTAGGTCGACCAGCCGTATCCCTAGTGAAATCCTCCGCCTGCAGCTGCTCGTGGCTCTTATTACCAACGACGGCGTCTTTGGCATTTCCAAAGGCCCTCAAAACGCTCCCAATAACACCGGGCCTCTGTTGCTGCGACGGCGATTGATCCCATTCCTCCTTATAAACAATCCTTTTTGCATCATCTCTCTCTCTATTAACATCACTAAGTTCATCAGCTGCTAGTCTAGCCGCCGCCGCCTCCGCCCTCTGCTCTTTCTCTTGCCTCGTCGCCATTGCTGCTCAAATCTTAAACAAACAAGTCACTGGAAACAATAATATGATGTTACAAGTAATTGAGAAGAAATGTATATTGATCTTTGGTTCTTTGTATGTTTTATATGAGCTGGTGAAATGCAATCGATCCTGGGAGGATGACACGTAGGTGAAGAACGTTTGATCTGATTGGTCGCCACGTGTTTCAGTGCGATCGTGTATTGACACGTTGCAGGTAAGTTTTGCATGCAAGTCTCGGTGATTTCATAAAGCGGTGGATGGATTGGTATTTGGTCCTGGCCGTGACAGTCAAAGTCAGCAAATTTCTTTCTTCATACATTGTGCTTCCACGTGTCCCTACACGTGTCACGATATTACTCCATCTTCCTTGTAAGAGGCTGCTTCGTTAACATGATTTCTGGACGTGATGACGTTGCGATATGGATAGTACAAAATTCGGGGTAGACTAACCAAATCAACCTTATCCATCCAATTCGATTTGATTGATTTTAACTTAATTCCATTTTGATGATTTAACTCGTGCTAAATTAGTCCGATTGCAGTTTACATTTCAAGATCTTTTAATCTGAAGTATCCGATTTTTTTAATCATTAATGATATTAAAATCATAAACTTTAAACCCTAAGTCCTATACTAAATCATTAGCCCTTCTAATTGTTATTATCAATCAGCTATTATATATCATTAATCATTATTTTGGGATAAGATCGATACCAAAATATTTTTATTTTTATTTTTCTTGCAAATTCATCATTTTATGATTAGATCAATATCAGAATATTTTTTTTTTATTTCTCTCATGAATTCATCCCTTTGTGATAAAATCAATACCAGCATGTTGAGTCAATCAAATAGATAAAATAACTAAAGGGAAGTGAATTGACAAATAAATTTTTGATAGGAACTTGAAGAGAAAATATAAAAATTGAATACAAGAATTAAGAGTGATTTGACTTTATAAACCAAAGTCTTCATCTACTACCTTAGCTATCCATAGTAAGAATTTTCACAAATTCACTAATTTGTAGCTACATTTGAGGATAAGGTGTAACCTTATAACTCTCTCAAGAATTATACCTCAAATTCTTGAGAGATTCTCTCAAAGAGAAAATTACAAATTTCAAACTTATAAAAATCTCACTAAGAATGTGTTTACACAATTTAATAACAAATAAGAACACTTAATAAATAAATAAAATGAGTACAAAAAGTGTTCTTTGAAAGCAAAAGGAATGTGAAAAATGTTAACTTGATTTTGGCTCAAATTTGTTGCTTTTGATTTTCTCTTGATCTTTTATCCTCACATATGACTTGGAACCTTGTTTTTATACTCTCTGTATTAATTCTAACCGTTTGAGTTGTTGTGGGAGTAAATAGAGTCGTTGGAAGGTAGTTTCTCACAATAAATGTTGTCAAAAGCTTGTAGTATCGGTACTCGGACTTTGAGTATCGATATTCCATGCATTAAATACAAAATATAGCCGTTGGGAAAGGTATTATCGATACTGATACAAGGAGTATCAATACTACTATAATAAGTAGTGTCAATATTTGAACTAGTATCGGTACCAAATGAGTATAATGGAATTTAACAATTTCAAAAACAAAAGGATAGTATCGGTACTACCTTTTGGAGTATCGTTACTACTATGAAAAATAATATCGGTACTGAAATAATATCAGTACCAAATGAGCATTTTGTTTTGTCAAACCTACAGGAAGTATCGGTACTACTACATAATTTTGGGCTTCAACATCGATAGTTGTATTAATACTTCAGGAACAATATCGATATTGTT